TACTTATATAAAAAAGATGACTTGAACATTGACACTCGATTTAGAAATTTAATAAAAGAAGTAAAATTTATGTTTTCCTTCTGAATAGTAATTTTTTGTACAATTACATATAAACACTGACATTACAAGCAAAAAGAATTATTGATGGATTTTGACTTCAAAAAAATGCAAATGGTTGCAGCAATTTTTTGTATAGTAATAATTGAAAAAAAAATTAATTTATAAAAACCAAACTAAGTGATAAAAATTAAACAAATTTATTAAGAAAGCGTTATGATGAAAAGACAATAGAATTATTAGGAAACGGAACTGAGCCAAATGTAATGCTATGTGTTTTTGTTTAACCTAAAATGGATTAGGTTGCAGCCTTCAAGATTAGTAAAAATATATATTTGTTGAAGTAAAATTATCTGAGGTATCATTATCGTTATTGCAATTTTTCTAGAGTAGCTATAACAACCAACAAGCAATCTTCTTAAAGTTATAAATTTTTAGTAATGCATATAATTTATTTATGGAAGTAATTAAGACAAAGTTCTGAAAAGCTATAAGGTAATTTTACTTTTATATTTTTCTAGCTGAATGATAGAACTGAATGGGAACTTTATGTGAAAAAAAATTATGCCAAGTTACTAATCTATTTATTTTATTAAATTATAAAATTGTTTTAAAAAATCTTTCGCATGAGAATCGCAGCATAGTCAAACTTCATTATCTGTTTTATAGTTTGTTACAATGGTAATATTCTTTTTTACTCTCTAAAAACAACCCGTTTGGAAAAGCAACGGATTGCTTTGAATATATTTTTAATTATTTTTATATGATGTTTTAATTTTTTAAATATACCTTTATAAATTGCAATTTAAGTAGACACGTGGCATGCAATACCTCACACTAAGTTTCATCATTTGTCAAATAAATCAGTTGTAAAATGTTTAATTGCTTTTTTTTTTATAGGTATTTGTTTAGGCTAGCAGGCCTTTTAAATAAAAAAGTGCTTAACGAATTAGCTTAACGCGATTTTGACGTCATAAAATAATCTTTATTTTTTTTTATAGACGTTAAGTGTTTTAACTACCGCAATAAATAAATAACCGCAAACTAGTTTAATTTAACAATTAACTCAAATATAAATTATAAAGGTTTTAAATATAAATTTATTATGAAAATTTTGTAATGTTTTTAATTGTTATTTTATTATTAATTTTAGTTCAATATTATTTAGTAATATATATATATATATATATATATATATATATATATATATATATATATATATATATATATATATATATATATATATCTATATATATATATATATATATATATGTATATATATATATATATATATATATATATATATATATATATATATATATATATATATATATATATATATATATATATATATATATATATATATATATATATATCTTCTATATAATATTGCCGAACTTAATAGTTTTAATAGTAGTAGTAGTGTCCCTTGGAGCGTATTTGACACGAAACCCTTGGAAGCCATTGCAACCGATGTATTGGCAAGAAAGAGTCGCAGCGCTATAAGAAAACGTGAACGAACATCTAACGTACGTAAACTTTAACTTATGTAATGTTAAAGCATATGTTAAAACATACTGAAACATTTATCACGTTTTACAGTTTGATTTTTACTTGAAAATTACATTGCGTCAACCTCTCCTTAATTTTGATCTAACATTTTTTTCCTCAAAAAAATTACTAGATTATTATAAAATCTATACTTGATGATACGCCGGTGTAGCTCGAGTGGATAAGGCGGCGAAGTTCTGAACAAGGAACTAGAGGTTCAACTCCAACCAAAGGCGGCTATTTTTTTTAACTTTTTTTAATTATTTTAAAATACAAAATACTTTCGAAGTTTTATAAAGATTATATACAAACATATGTAACGTAACGATATTATGCACTCACAAAAGAAAAGATTTTAAGAATGCTAAAACTTCATAAAACATTAAAAAAAAAAAAACATCACCAGGAGAAAAAATATGTTGCGTATCTATGATAATTGAGACACTTATGTTATTAATGTGCGAATGTAATTACTCCTAATAAGCTGCGGATGGTCTGAAAAAAAAGTTGTCTGAAACTTAATAAAGAAAAAACTTAACAAGACAGCCCTGCTACTTCATAAGATGCTGCTGTGGAGGCAAAAAAAAAAAAGCCTGTAGCTAGATAAAACATTAAAACTTTCTTTTCACAATTAAAAGTTTATTTTGCTACATTAACTTTTTTACTATAAATAGATGCAGCAACTGTTTTTCAAAACGCCTTAATGTAATTCAAAAAAAAAACCCAATTAAAAATAAAAAAAAAAAACCCAATTCAAAAAAAAAACCCAATTAAAAAGAAAATTGTTTGGAAAAACTCTTCGTAAAAAGTTTTTAGAAACGAATAACTTTTATTTAGTTTTTTTTTTCTTTTGTGCAACTTACTTTTCAATAAATTTCTTTACCTTTTAGAATATGACCATTTTTAACAATGCTATAGAAAAAATATCAGTAAATTGATTAGTAGTATTTCAATTTTATTAATTAGATTAAATTATATATATATTAAATTATATATTATATATATTAAATTAAATAGATAAATAAACTGATATTCAGTTAATACATGGGTATTTTTTTTTTTTATACTTAGTGACAAAATAGACTAATTAGATAAGTCGTTAAGTAGAATGCTAAGAATATATTTATGGCGGTTATTGTTGTTAAGAGTGATTAATAGGCAAATAAATTAAAAGCTAATCAGGGCTTTGAATAAATTATAAACTAATCAGGGAAGTTTTATTGGTAAACCTAATAAATAGGAAGATAACATATAATTCAGGTAGACATTGTTTTCACTTTTTCGCCAAACTTTGATATCTTTGATATTAAAAAATATGACCTTTCCAATAATTATAGATGGTAGTGTATTAACCTTTTTTTTCGGATCCACAATCCGTTATGATTTGTATTTTATCAATGTGAACGAAAGTCTATTCAAATATCTAAATATGTAAACTTTAAGTTCTTTAATTATCAATCAGTATAATTATAAAGTAGATGACATCAAATTCTACCGATTTATTTTTACTTAATAATTTCATTGCGACAATATCTCTTTATTTTAAAGCATTAAATGTTGTTTTTTAAAGTTTAATAAGTTTTCTGTTTATTAAATATAGTGTAAAAAAATCATATAGCATTCCGCAGCGATTGAAGTGCTTCGCTTCGGTTCAAAACCTTTTGCTTACACAATTTTTTTTTTTAAATCCTATCCAGTTTTCTAGAAAACAAAGAAAAACAATTTTAAATGCATATAGATGTTATACGCATTACATAAAAATAAAGATATAATATACTATAAGAAACCAAACGGAGAGAATTTTTTAAAACGTTTTTTAAAAATTTTAAAAACATAAAAACGCTGTTGGAAATTTGTTGCGCATATGTCATGATAGAGATACTTATGTTTTAGGTAATTAGTTAAAACTGCGAGTTCAACACACATTAAAGAGATAAATTTCTTTCTTATATATATAAGAAAGAAATTTATCTCTTTAATGTGTGTTGAAATTTATCTCTTTAATTTCCCCTAATCCGCTAATAGAAATGAGATATAAACAAATATTAAATGATTTTTGTATTACGAAACGTACGCCAACTCTTAAACCACTGTAAAACTGCCTTGCGGTTATCTAATTAAATCCACCAAATCCGTTAATAAAAACAGCTTAATTAATAGATTCAAAACCATCTAATTTTTCTATTATGATATGTGCGCCAACTGTACTCTAAAACCAATAAAACTCGGCCATGTGGTCTTCATATCGATTATAACAATTGCAAAGCGAGGGACGACAAGTAAGTTGTATCTACAAGTTTAATTATTGTAATCTTCATTTAAAAAATTAAACTTATTTTATAATTACCATGTTAATATGTTTGAAGTTAATATGTTTTTGACCCAAGAATAAACATTAAAATTATTTTTTAGAAATGAGCAGCCAAGATACAGAAGGTATTCTTTTAATTTTGTATAACATTAATTAATTAAAGAGATAAAAAGAGATGATACGTCAATAATACTGAGATACTTAGCTTATTATTTTATTAAGAAATTACATTAAGATAATTTTGTATATCTTTAGGCAACGAAGAAGTTTCTGCATTTTTTCGAAGTAAGCCATATATATATACTATATATAGTAGCAGTTACGTATGTTCTAAAAGTGGCGGAGCTGTACTTGATTTACGGTGTGAATAAAACGATGATTTAATTTAGCCGTTTTCAATTAAAATCAACCAAGATATGCCGCCCTCCCCTAACCCCGTGAATCAAGTACACCCCCCTAAAATTTAACTAAAATTAAAAAATATATAAATTAATTTTTAGAACTTTAAAAGGGTGGACCCAAAACTCAGCTTTTGTTTATTCCGCTATTTTGATTGATGTTTTTGTAAAGCAGTGAACCTTTAAAACGAGTATAAGCTTTATTTAAGGTGTTTAAGCTATAATTTTATAAAATGTGTTTAAGCTAAAATTGACTTTTAAGTCTTCTAACTAATAAACTTTTACGTAAAATGAAACTTTTTGTCATTTACTGAATGTGTTAAATTATAAAACTGTGCAACAGTTTTATAATTTAAGACAAATCTTATATGTTTAATTGAAAAAGTAAATATTTTGAAAATTAATTTTGTCTATATATATATTAGATGTTCAAGAGATCAGAGCCGAAGAGCTCTTGCCAAGTAAGCTAATTTTGTATGAGAAGGATATGTTACAAATATATATATTTCACCAATTTCAGCAATTTGTTAATTATAACTTTTTTTTAATGTTTAGCGGAAGTAATGGACAAGCTAAGTGAGGAATTTTGTTGTTGTTTTTTGTTTTTTTTTGTGTGCAAATATATTTATGCTTTTTTAGTTTTTTTAAAGTTATTTAGCAACTGACTTTTGTCGGTTGTGACAGTTTGTCAGTCAGCAAGTGACTTTTGTAACTTTTAAATTTATTTTGTTTAGAAAAGTTAGAAGATTCTGTTGAGAATCTAAGTAAGCAATTTGTTATTGTTGTTGTAATGCTCTTTATTTTTTTTTATTACATGTTTATTTAACATAAAGTTATTCTATATTTGGCAAGTTAGTTTATTTTAATGTTTATAAGTTTTTCATTTTATTTAGAAAAATTAGAACATTCAATGGGTAAACAGAATTTGATTATATTACATTTGTGTATTATAGATAAAGATATAGCATTTTACTTTCAAAAAAAAAGGTGTATTCTATGGTCTTTTAGCTTTTTTGATACAAATTTTAGCATTTTTTTTTATAGGGCTTATATTTCAACAACTTAGTAAGTTACTATATTGTTGTTGTGGATTGTTTCTTTAGTTTATTTTTTATTTTTATTTTGTCGCTTAATTCTTTTTTGGTTTGTTTTGTTTTGTGATTGTTATTTTTGCCTTTTGTTTTGTTCCAACTTTATTTATAGATTTCCTAAAGTTGACAAATATTCTGCATGTTAGTTTCTTTCCTAATGTTAATGAGTTTTTTTTAATTCTATTTAGAAAATTTAGAAAATTCAATTGGTAAGCAAAGTAGACTTATGTTTCTTTTTGTTTAATTTTAACACACATTTTTTGATGTTTGTGTGCGGTTTTATCACTCTAAAATAAACTGTTTAATTGATTAGTATATGTTAGTTTATGTAAATATATTTTTCACCTCCACTATAGCGTCATCTGCAGTACCATCAGGTAATGTGTTTTGCATTCTTATGCAGTTTTAAAAGTGTTATGTGTGTTAAAACTTAAAGATAGCATATCTTAATTTACAGATTACTTTATCTATTTATTTTTTTGTCTCTACATTAGCACCGTAAGCAATAATATCAGGTAATCTGTTTAGCATACTTATGCAGTTTTATGGGTTTTATGTGTATTTAAACTTAATCATTACTGTTTTCATGCAATTACATAAATGTTTAACATATGTTACTTTATACACTTTTTTTTTTACCTTTACAATAGCACCAATGTCATCATATGCAGTACCATCAGGAAATGTGTTTTGCATACTTATTCAGTTTTATGAGTGTTATGTGTATTGGAACTTAAACATTACTTTTTTCATGTTTGTAAACAATTACATAAATGTATAACATATGTTACTTTATACACTTTTTTTTTTTTATATTTACAATAGCATCAATATCATCTGCAGTACCATCAGGTAATGTGTTTTGCATACTTATGCAGTTTTATGAGTGTTATGTGTATTAAAACTTAAACATTACTTTTTTCATATTTGTTATCAATTACATAAATGTTTAAAATATGTTACTTTATACACTTTTTTTTTTTTTTTTAACCTTCACAATAGCATCAATATCATCTGCAGTACCATCAGGTAATGTGTTTTGCATACTTATACAGTTTTATGAGTGTTATGTGTATTAAAACTTAAAGATAGCATATGTTAATTTACAGATTACTTTATTTTTATTTTTTTCTCTACATTAGCACCTCAAGCAATAATATCAGGTAATCTGTTTAGCATACTTATGCAGTTTTATGGGTTTTATGTGTATTGAAACTTAGGCATTACTGTTTTCATGCAATTACATAAATGTTTAACATATGTTACTTTATACACTTTTTTTTTTTTTTACCTTTACAATAGCATCAATATCATCTGCAGTACCATCAGGTAATGTGTTTTGCATACTTATGCAGTTTTATGAGTGTTATGTGTATCGAAATTAAACATTACTTTTTTCATGTTTGTTATCAATTACATGAATGTTTAACATATGTTACTTTATACACTTTTTTTTTTTTACTTTCACAGTAGCATCAATATCATCTGCAGTACCATCAGGTAATGATGTAATTTAATGTAAAACTTAAAGATTGCATATCTTATTTTGCACATCACTTTTATTTATTTGTTTTTTTGTCTATACATTAACACCTGAAGCAATAATATCAGGTAATCTGTTTAGCATACTTATGCAGTTTTATGAGTTTTATGTGTATTAAAACTTAAATTTTTTTTTTTTTTTATGTTTTCATGCAATTTCATAAATGTTTAACATATGATACTTTATACACTTTTTTTTTTTTTTATTTTCACAATAGCATAAATATCATCTGCAGTGCCATCAGGTAATGTGTTTTGCATACTTTTGCAGTTTTATGGGTTTTATGTGTATTGAAATTAAACATTACATTTTTCATGTTTGTTATCAATTACATAAATGTTTAACATATTTACTTTATACACTTTTTTTTTTTTTACTTTCACAATAGCATCAATATCATCTGCAGTACCATCAGGTAATGTGTTTTGCATGCTTATGCAGTTTTATGAGTGTTATGTGTATTGAAACTTAAACATTACTTTTTTCGTGTTTGTATGCAATTACATAACTGTTTAATATATGTGTTAGTTCATATGTTTTTTTATTTATTTCCATAATAGCAACAATATCTGCAGGACCATCAGGTAATCTGTTTTCCATACTTATACAGTTTTGTGGGTGTTATGTGTATTTGTTATGTGTATTTGTTATGTGTGGGTGTTATGTGTTATGTGTAGGTATATATGAAATTTAAACATTGCATATCCTTATTTTTACATTACTTTATTTATTTATTTTTTTTGTCATAACTTTTTTTTTTTGAAGTCTAAATAGTTTTAAATAATATTTTTATTGGTTGTTTTGTGCAGTATTGTATTCAAATTTATTTCTTTTTTTGTTTTTGTTTTTTAGCATCGCACCAAGATTTTCTGCAATATCGCTCCCACCACCCAGGTCCAATATTTCCAAGAGCTTTTTACCGGTGGAGTCAATATGGGGGAGATGATCCCTTCTTTAGATGGAGGAGACAAGCCCCATATGACACCACTGGTAGAAAGAGGGGTGCTGAAAAGCGGTTTAACTCTTTTAATTTCTACCAGTAGCTTTTTTAAACTACTGGTAGAATTATCTTCTTTTTTATTTATAAAGAAAATTGACTTTTTAAAAAAATGTTTTTTTTAATTTCGCAATTTTTTATTATTTTAATTTATATACTTTTACTATTTTATTTTCTTGATTTTTAATTCTGTTTGTAAATCCTAAACTTACAAAGAACTCTTATGTTATAAAAGTTTTTAATAACTTGTCTATAAGTTTTTTTATTAATTTACGTTTTTACATCTTTTTATCCTCATTTTTAATTTTAATAATACTAAATTTTCTTTTGTATTAACTTTTATTTGTTAAGTGTTATATAGTTTTTGAAAGATTGGGTAAATATATTTAAAGTTTTTCTTTTTGTATGATATCTGTTTAATATGTCTAATATATGCACTATACACCTATTAATCTCTTTAGATATATTATAAAATAGTATTTAAAATCAGTTGTCAGCCACATGTGGTCTATATGATGCAACATGTTTGCAATTGTTGGCATGTCATTTAAAAATTTGTAACTAATTTTGCTTTTTAATATTACCATTAATATGACTTTTAAAATAATAAAATTTTTTATTTGTTTTAAAAAATACTGTTTTATTACTTACAATATAGTATGTTATTTCAAGATACTTCTGGCTTTTTCTCTGTTTCAAACCAGTTTAGTTATATCTTTTGTTCACAAATTTTATTAGACGCTATACACATAGTTTCATAGGTTTAAACTGATAAATAGCACTTTATTGTTTTTGTTCATTTTAGATTAGTATAGCAAAAAATTAATAAGATATTCGTTTATATATCTTTATTTATATTTATGTGCTTAAGTTTATATAATTTTTTATTAAGTTGTTTCCATGTGAAAAGTGGTGTTACTTGGCAACGTGTAGTGCAAGATTGTGATTCTTGCAAGCCAAGCGGTGTTACTAATGATGTTACTTGGCGGAAAAAGTGCGTATGTTAAAGTTTTTTTTTGCTCTTAAAGCAAATTTTTTTAATGAATTTTTTTCCACATTTTACTAAAAAATATTGAAGTAAATAAAGAACAAGTAAAGAAATGATTGGCGTGGAATTGATAAATATAGAAGTAGAAGAAAAGACCTGTATTTACCGATACGGACAGCTAGATTAAGAAAATAAGGCAAAAGGTTTGTGTGGAATAGACTTACAAAGACCCGTATTTTTACGGGTCAATTCAGCTAGTATTTAATAATTTGAATCGTATCTGTTTATAACAAACGTTCGTAAAAATTTGTTTATTAAAAATTATGTTCCTTAACTTATAAACAAACTCAAAAGTATTTTCATTCTACGTATAATTACAAAACACTTTTTTTTTTTTTCGTTTGTAAACAATTTAACTTAACAAAATAAAAAAAAGAATAAATATGAGGTAATCTTTGTTAAGAATAAATTTAATTTATTTATTGAACTATATTTTTATTTTAAATTATATATCAACTTAATTAAAATAAAGTAACATGTTAAAATATTTTAACATGACTTGTATTATTTATAAACCGTTGGGCAGTTGCCCTCACGGCACTATTGTTTTTGGATAATATTTTATTTTGATGAAGATCACATAACTTACATTTGATTTTAATAACGTAAGCCTTCTCTTTTTCTGTGATCATCGCATCGGCAAAGCATCGGCAAAGTCCCAAGATTTAAAAGTTTTTAAAGTAAATCTTTTGTCCTTCAATATACAATCCATATTCGAACTTTAAACAATTTAGAGATAATAGAAATATACAAGGTTTTTATATACTAGTTTGTTTTGTTTTATAAAGAAAAATACATATTCATTAGTAAAAAATGGAGACTGTCATTAAACTAAAACGTGCCTTAGTATTTATTTAACGGAACCTGTAATGTGCGCGTGCATAATAAAACCTCCGTTATATAAATATATTCAACGTAATATTAGTGTCATGAGCAGATGTTGTAGTCTACTCATGATTTCTTTACCTTATAATATAACTTGATTTATAAAAAAAAAAACTTATTGAATCGCACGCAGAAGAATTTTAACAAATCGCCTTCATTCAAATATTGCGAGTAACAGGTAATTTTTTTTCTTCTGTGCCGACCCCCTCCCCCCGCATAACTTAAACTATATACCTTTAACTAATAAGAAAAGCAAAGACATTTTTTTTAACAACTCGAAAAAATGTCTTGATATTTTTGTTATCATGATAACAAAAATATTAAGACATTTTTTGAGATTTTATTTAAAAAATGTCAATTCTTAATTACAAATTTTTTTGCAAATGTTTTTTATTATAAATTCAGTAAAAAGTTCATAAAAAATCTATATTACAAAAAACTTTTATATTCTGTATTAATAAATATGGAATATAATTTTTTTAAAAGTTTTTTACTAAAAACTTTAAAAAATTACTACTTTTTATTAAAAA